AAAAAAAAAAAAAAAAAAAAGGTTGTACAAGATAATGTAAGAAATTTTAAGCTGGTATTTACCCTTTTTAAAAATTTATTTTATTGTAAATGTGATGTACAAAGAGGATGTTACAGTTACATAAGTTAGGTAAAGAGTACATTTCTTTTTAAGATTTTTTTTTCCCCTCAAAGAGACATCTATCTCCTACATTTTGGGGAAGAACTACTTTTATTACAGGTATTTGTGTGCACATTTGACGCACTTTATGGAGCTCTTGAGGATGGGTCCAACCCATACATGTGAAATAGTAATGAATTGGTGGAATTTTGGAGGTATATGGAGGATGCCATGTGTTGACCTCCCCCCTTTTTTATGCTGGTTCAGGGCCTGGTGCTGTCCTTAAGCTTTAATTTTAATTTTTTTTTGCTAAAGGCTGAGCTCTACTACTTGAAACACAGCTCCTTGTCCAGCTTTATGTGTTATTGGAGACAAGAGTCTCACAGGCTTTCTTGCCTGATTTGGCTTTGAACCTTGATCCTCAGATCTCAGCTCTTACTGAATAGCTATGATTACAAGTCTAAACTACTGGTGCCAGGCTCTAATCCCTCTAGTAATTCTTTCATTTTTTGTCATTGATGTGCGTGAGTTGAAATTTAGCCAGAGTATTGATTACATAAAAAACACTTAAAAAGGAGGCCCGTATTTGTGAAAGCTTACCTCTAGAAAAGCAAATATTTGGCAATAGCAAAAACAAATTTACTTCTCAAGTTGAATATTTTCAATGGCTTTTGATGACTTTACCCAGGTTATTCTTTTAGAGTAATTAAAAAAACAACTAGTATTTAAACATGTAGGCCAAACAAACTTTCAAAAGCTTTTGGAACTATATTGTGGAGACAGAGTTGGTTGGGGAATGAAGTAATAATGGTAGCCCGAAGCTCTGTGTGCTACTTGCACACTCTGTGTTAAAAGTGCATAGCTTGTCCGGAGCAATTTGTTCTCATTCCAGGGCCTGAGTATGCTTTTGATGTGTGACAGGGCTTAAAGCATACAACATACTATTTTGACTTTTGAAAGCCATTATGTCTGGCCTGGTGAGTTCTTGTTGAAAAGACAACTGTCAGATGAGTTCACTTAGGGAAGTCTCTTCATTAACTCACCTTGGTTAGCAGCCATAACTGGTGACCTATTCTCTCTTGATAGGCATTCTCATCTGCTGTTGACTCTTGAGTGTTTTTTTTTTCCTTGTGGTGGAACTGGGGCTTGATCTAAGGGCCTCATGTTATCACTTGGCTCTTTTGCTCTCAAGGCTTGTGCTCTACCACTTGAACCACATCTCCACTTTTAGCTTTTTGCTTGTTAAGTGGAGAGAAGAGTCCTTTAGATTTTTCTGCCCCAGTTGACTTTGAACTGACTTCCTCAGATCTCAGCCTCCTGAGTAGCTAGGATTATAGGTGAGTCACCGGCTCCCAGCTATTAAGAAAAAAAAACTTAAATATACAAATATATATATATATACATATAGTTATATATGTATATATAGCATATATGTTATATATACATATGTATGTATGTATTTTTGGCTAGTACTGGGATTTAAACTCAAAAATTTGTACTTGCTCATTTTGCTTACTGGCTTGACACTCTACTACTTGAGTTACACCTCTAGCCCAGCTTTTTAGTGGTTATTTTGGAGATGGAGTCTTTCTGCCTAGGCTGGCTTCAGACCTCAATCAAGAATTACAGGGATGAGTCACTGGTGCCTGGCTGAAAAATAATTTTTTTTAAAGAAAAAAAATCCACTTTATAAAAAGAAACCATTGCACTGTTGATTTTTTTTTTTTAATACTGTAGAAATTGGCTAGTGCCCTTGTGAATTTAAGGATAGAAGGAAGCTAAATGAATGGCCACTTTGTTGCTGGGCTTGCAGCTTTAACATAACTCTTCAATCCTCCCTAACTCCATGGAATGACTTGCCCCTTTTTACAAGGAGAAATTGAAGCTCAGACACATTGACAAAATCTCCTGAAAATCAGAGCCCCCGACAGAATTTAAATCCTGGTCACCAAACTCTTAGTACTTCCCCCTCTATGATTTTTCTAAAGCTGTTTGGCAAAAGTATTATTGATGTTGGCTATTTTAAAGCACATCTTAACTCTAATATTTCTCAGGTGGTGCCAACCACAGACTCCTGAACACTAGTGTTGTGTCTGCAGGACTCAAGACAAGGTCCTGTATACAACACCAAGACCTTTCCCAGTTCATCTTTAACAATGGGAAGAACAACTATTACTAATTAATTTACTTTTAAAAAATCCTGAATGAAAATAAATACAAACTTATTTGTTAATTTGTCACTATAAGTTACTCTTTAATGAAACTTCCTGAATTGGCAGAAAAATTCAATTTGCATTCCATTTCAAAAGGAAAATGTTGACTTTACATAGTCTCAACGATTCTTTCTCTTGCCGTCTTCTTTATTTGCTTTGTTTTATTTTTGAGACATGGTCTCACTATGGAGCCCAGGCTGCCCAATGCTGATGTTACAGATATCCCCTTCCACCCTCAGTCTCTTGCAGTCTTTTATCAGCTTGTTAACTGAAAGATAATCTTTGGAGTATGTTTTATTTTTCTCAAAGTAACATTTTAAAATATCCTTTATTGTCTGTCTCCCTGCCATTGTGATATCACAGAGTTACAGGCCTTAGTAGCAAAATCATCAATAGAGAATAGATTTTCTGTTAGACTTCCATCCAATTCCAACTTGTCGACCTGATTAGCATAATCAGGATTTTCTTAGAGGTGGACTAGGCTGGACTTAGCCAGGAAGCTTTGGGGAGGATAATGGGCTTTGCCAGCACAGGGCTTCTGTTTCATGTGTCTGCTGCAATTTGTTTTTAATTTTGTTTATGACAAGTTTATTTGGCAAGTTTTGTTAGAAATTTTAAATTTGAAAGTAAAAATAAAAGATGAAAATGCTGCTTTGAGTTTTTTTTAAAGACTTCACTCTTTCAGGAAAGTGACTTTCATCTACTCTTAATGACGTGAGTTTCTCAAAGCCTGTTAGTCCTTTCTTTTAGTTTTGTTGGTTGCCTGACTTTACTCCTTATCAGACAACCCAGGCAGACGTTCGGTTTGTGCTGGTGTTTCTTTCTGGTCATAAATGTAATTTATGGCTATGGTAGAAAATGTGGAAAATAATTGTTCAGAGACAGCCACAGTGGCCTTTTCAAATCTCTTTTGTTACAGTTTTTCCTTGTAAGGTTTGTATAGTTGAGTATCCTACATGTGTATAATTATTCCTCTCTCCTAATCCCTCTTCTTTGACCTCTTATCCTTTCTCTCTCTTCTCCTTTTTTAAATTTTGCAAGTCCTGGGGCTTGTGAACTCAGGTACTGTCCCTGAGCTTCTTTTGCTCAAGGCTAGCACTCTACCACTTGAGCCACAAGGCCACTTCTGGCCTTGTCTGTGTATGTGGTACTGAGGAATCAAACCCAGGGCCTCATACATGCTAGGCAAGCACTCTACCACTAAGCCCATTTCTAGTCCCTCTTTTTTTTTTTTGGTCGGTTGTGGATGCTGTCTCTCAGCTCTTCAGCTCAGCCACAGCGCCACTTCCAGCTTTTTCTGCTTATGTGGTGCTGAGGAATCGAACCCAGGGCCTCATGCATGCCAGGCAAGTACTCAACCACTGAGCCACCTTCCAGCCCTCTTTTTTTTTTTTTTTAAGATAAGGTCTTGGTATTTTGCCCAGATTAAAATCAGACTCCTGATCTTCCTGCCTCAAAGTCTGAGTGCTGGAATTATAGGCCCACACAACAACCCTTATAATCTTATTTTCTTTACTTGAACATATTGTAAAATACCCTTACCATGTCATTAAAAGTTTAATAAATGATTAAACATTAGTATATATATGATTATATTGAATTGTTCTGATATTGTTGAACACTTTTTATGTGCCAATATTTCTCCATATTCCTGAATATTTCTTTACAATAAAATCATGGGAATAAAATTATTGAGTTAAGTACAAATATTTTGAAGGCTTTTATAATGGTTACAACTTGTGCTCAGAAAGATACCTTGTTCTAGAGTACTGCTGAGTGTAGCTTAGGTCCTGAGTACTTTTTTCTTTCTTCTAATTTTCTAATTTGATTTTTTCCTAATTTTTTTCTAATTTGCTAGGCAAACACTAATGTTGCTTCAATTTTTTTTAAACCAGTTCTGGAGCTTGAACTCAGAGCCTGGGCACTATTCCTGAGCCTCTTTGTGCTCAAGGCTAGCACTACCACTTGAGCCACAGTGCCATTTCTGGCTTTTTCTGCTTATGTTGTACTGAGGAATTGAACTCAGGGCTTCATGAATGCTAGGCAAACATTCTACCACTAAGCCACATTCACAGCCCTCAAGTTTTTTGTAAGTCCAACAGTTACCCTAGATTGAGTAGAACATAAAGTCCTGAGAAAGAAATTGTAAGTCAGCTCCTTAGACCTAGCAGTGGGGAATTCTGTTTAGAACTTGGACATTTTGCTGGCAACAGAGTGATTCTTCTGTGGCTTTTTATTTTTTGTTTTCTGGTTGTAAATACACATCACTGTGAGCTAAGATTTAGTGGAAGTTATAGAGCTCCTCTTTATAAAATGGGGGTGATTGGACCCCCTGAAGTTTCTTCCTGGAGCTCTGGTTACAAATCTGTTCTTGAGGGAGGTGTGAGACCTTGGCGTGCCAGTGCGCTGCGTTTATTTTGCTTAGTAATTGAAAATTCTTGAACACACTGGACTTGCTGGGTAGAGCCAAGTTGAAAGGGAAGTCAGCCAGGCTGTAAGTACTATGTTTTGCTAATTTGGCAGCTCAGCTCCAGGATGCGGTGAGATCCTGCATGGTTTGACTTGTCTTTGAGAATGCTCTGTTGAAACACAATTGGACTTGTCTGTGTGAAAATAAGGACAGTAAGTCTACCTGATTCACTGATTTATTACATAGTTTGGGCCAAGTGTTAATCTAAATATAACACATTTCAGAACCAAAAAGATTTATTCCCGTGTATACGTTATATAGCTGTCAGTCATTAGTTGTATTGAAATTGTTGTGTGACCTGCTGAGGATTTGCCTGCCCTTAATTTTGTGAAAATGTGCCTCCCCAAAGCAAGTGGTGCCTGCCACGCAAGGTGAAAGTGACTGTGCCAGAGTCAAGTGATGAGGGGAAATGTGAGCAGTATTGAAATGTCATGCCTTTAGAGGAAGTTGGGTGGCATTATGGGAAAAATGAATCCAGCAGTCCCAGTTCAGGACAGCACTGAACTCTGGACATCTTGAGCTTGTGTGGGTTTGCTTCGAGGGCTGAATCCTTGCAGATACCGAGGATTTCCTGTACACACACACACCCACACCCACACACACACACAATTTCTACACATATTCCCTCACACACACACAATTTCTACACATATTCCCTCATTTCCTTTTCCCAGTTTCTCATACCTAGTCCTTTCTCGTGGCTTGTGGTGCCAAGTAGTGGGCTAGGCGACACCCTGGTGGCGGGTGGGGGCTGGACAGGGTGGACACACCAACTTGTCAGTGTCTCTGGATGCTCAGCTTTCAATTCTGAACTTCTTACAACTAACTCAACTGTAGTTTGATGTTCTCCAGGACCAAATTACCTTTTTCTCCTTCAAGCAGTTTTTTTTTCCTGGTATGTGTTTTTTGAGGGCTGGCATGGGAAGGAGGAAGGAGTTCTCTAGAAACAGCCACCCTGGCAGAGTAGATTGTTTCTCTCTGGGCTGAGGCACTGTTTCTGAGCTCTTCAGCTCAACGCTAGCGCTCTACCACTCGATCCACAGAGCCACTTCTGGTTTTCTGGTAGAGATTGTCTCATGGATCTTGTCCGGGCTGGCTTTGAATCCTGATCCTCAGATCTCAGCCTCCTGAGTAGCTAGGATTTTAGGTATAAGCCACCAGTGCCTGGCTACGTTTCTGTCAGTTCTATTGCTGAGCCACTCATCCAGCCTGTTTTTGTTTGTTCAACTTCTTGGTAAAGCTCTTTAAGACTCTTCAAAACGTATTTTTCCCTAGGCTTCTTTTCCGATGTATAAGACACATCTAACCTTCTTTGTTTATGATACATCTGGCTGCAGAAGTTTTAGATACTTGTGGCTAAATGGCAGATTCTAATTTTTATGGTTTCTGTCTTTGGTGTTAAATTCTTTGCATCTCCCCAAAGTCACCACCCCCCATAGCCAAATGTTTGTTCGTTTTTTCTCCTCTTTTTGGGATGATCTCTAGTTTTGTGAAGCCAAATTCTTTCCTAATTGCTTCATTCCTACATATCAGAACAGAGTCAAATTGCAAAATAGAAGGTGGGGGTGGCGATCCCATGGCTGCCGCAGAAGCCTCTGGGCTGCTCTCTCTCAGAATTGAACTTCTCTGGGCTGATCTCCCTTTCTCTGATCTTTTCTTTGCTCTGCAGTGGGCACTGTCTGCTGGGATCACGCTGGAGTCAGACTGCTGATGCTCAGCAGATGCCTCTGAGCACACATGCACGAAGTCTGGGCATGTTCTTACTCTTAATGTCTTTGCTTTCGTTTGGACAGGTCTGTGGTTTCTCACCAGAAGGACACACAATGTTCTCCAAACTAGCGCATCTAAAGACCGTGGCTGTGCTCCGTCGAGGAGTTCACATTTCAGTGGCTTCTGCCACATCGGTTGCAGCTAAAAAGACAGTGCAAGGCCCTCCGTCCTCTGAGCACATTTTTGAACGGGAAGCGAAATATGGTGCACACAATTACCATCCTTTACCCGTGGCCTTGGAGAGAGGAAAAGGTATGTTCTGAAAGACCTCCTCCCACCCAGTAAAAATTAACTGCTTTGATATGTTCTCAGTGTCCATTTTCCCAGATGCATCAAATGTCTTAGTTCCTTCAGTCTTTCTGATTGACTAGTGGAGCGGTCTCAGGGGCTACAGGGCACTGGTGATCCATCATGGGTGGCTCCCCAAGAAATATGGAAAGTGCTGTTCTCCTCTGCCTCACTGTCATTTTTTTCTGATTAGCTTTGATTTTGGTGTGATTTTAGTTAAAGGATATAAGCACTTGTGTTTAATTTATAACAAAGCCTTACAGACACAGGTGCAAACAGTAAGTCCTCTTTTGCAACCCAGAACTCATTGCTGAATATGAGATTTTTGGTACACGTAAGAAGGAATATGATTCCTACAACAGCTGGCAATGTGGGGGTTGGTTCACTCACATAGGTTGGCTCTGAGAAGAAAGTTGATGTAAAAGCTAAAAAAAAAACAAAAACCAACCAGTTGTGCTCATGCCTGTAATCAACTAGTTGGGAGTTGGAAATGTGAGTTAGATCCTAACGAAAGTCACGGTGGTGCGTGACTATGTATGCTCAGCTTCACAGAGGCAAAAGTGGGAGAATCGCGGTCCATGGCTGCCCCAGGCAAAAAGCACAAGACCCTCCTTGAAAAATAAATAAAAAATGGGCAGAAGGCATAGCTCAAGTGGAAGAGTGGCTGCCTAGCAGGACACGGCTCTAAATTCAAGCTTCAGTACCTTTAGGAAAAAAAAAATAGTATGACAGCAGTAGTGTAATGTGTCTTCTACTCTCACCCAAATTTCTTGTTCTGTTTTTTTTTGTTAGTTTGTTTTTGGGGCTTGAACTCTAGGCCTGGGTGCTGTCTTTCAGCTTTTTAGCTCAAGGTGAGCATTCTACCACTTGAGCCACAGCACCACTTCCAGTTTTCTGGCGGTTTACTAGAGATAAGAGTCTCATGGACTTTTCTGCCCATGCTGGCTTTGAACCGCGATCCTTAGATCTCAGCTTCCTCAGTAGCTAGGATTACAGGCATGAGCCACTGACGCCTGGCTCCTGTGTTGATATTTGAAGTTTTGTTTTGTGTTCACTTTCTCCTCCTTGTCAGCAATATTTTATATTATTTCCTGACCTGTGAAAGAAGAAACTGCAGACAGGGAATCTCTTCACACCTAGATGCTTAGTGTACCCTTCCTCTGATAAAGCCCAAGGACTTTATCTTTTTTTTTTTTTTTTTTTTTCTTTTTGGTCGGTCTGGTTGTGGGGCCTGAACTCTGGGCCTGGGCACTGTCCCTCAGCTCTTCAGCTCAAGACTAGCGCTCTACCACTTGAGCCACAGCGCCACTTCCAGCTTTTTTCTTTTTGCTTATGTGGTGCTGAGGAATCGAACCCAGGGCCTCAGGCATGCAAGGCAAGCACTCTACCACTGAACCACATCCCCAACCCCTTTTTTTGAGTTTTTTATATATGTTGGATTTTAATCTCCCATGGAGTAAATGTGGGCTCTTATAGTCTACTTTTTATGATTGTTCTGTTATGTATCACTCCTCTGTTTTTAAATTCTAATTTTGGCTCCTAAATGTTAAAAGTATCCTTCCAGAGTTTATGGCTTTTTATGGTATTCTTGTAAAATGTATATTTTGGAGGTAGACTGATAGAATATATACTTCGTAATTTCTTATAAACTGCCAGGTGCAGTGGCTACTTATGAGGCAGAAATCAGGAGATCTAGGTTCAAAGAATCTGGCAAAACGGTTGCAAGATGTTATCTTAACCGACAAAAAGCTACTTGTGCTCGTGTGTGCCTGTTGTGCCAGTTGGGTAGGAAGCACAGGCTTGTCTAGGTAAAAAGTGAGACACTATTTGCAAAAAAGTGAAAGCAAAAAGGCCTTGAGAGAGCACTTGCCCAGCAAAGCCTAAGGTCCTGACTTCAAACCTCACTATTTAAAAAAAAAACCCGAAAAACAAATATGTATCTATCAATTTATTATGCTTGAGCTAAAACAAATCTTCCTCATAACATAAAGAGGACTTTGGACTTTGGCATACAGTAGCTTTCTAAAGTCATTTTCCTTCCCTGTGCACTTTAGGTATCTACGTGTGGGATGTAGAAGGCAGAAAATACTTTGACTTCCTGAGTGCCTATGGTGCCGTCAGCCAAGGGCACTGTCACCCCAAGATTGTGAACGCCCTGAAGACTCAGACAGACAAGCTGACCTTAACGTCTCGGGCATTCTACAATAATGTTCTTGGTGAATACGAGGAGTACATTACTAAACTTTTCAACTACCAGAAAGTGCTTCCTATGAATACAGGTAAAGCATTTGCTCATTGCTGAATAACGTCCAAGAAAACAATCACATTTTCTGATGAGTTAAAATACCGACATCTGAGCATTTCCCCCCATAGGCGTAGAGGCCGGAGAGACTGCCTGCAAGCTTGCCCGTCGGTGGGGTTACACTGTGAAGGGCATTCAGAAATACAAGGCAAAGATCATTTTCGCAGGTAGGTGAGATTCAACATTGACGAGTAAGATTTTAAACATACAACATCATTTACTATTTAAATTTATTGGTTGGGAATATGGCTTAGTGGTAGGGTGCTTGCCTAGCATGCATGAAGCCCTGGGTTCAATTCCCAGTACCACTTAAACAGAAAAGGCTGGAAGTAGAGCTGTGTCTCAAGTGGTAGAGTGCTAGCCTTGAGCAAAAGAAGCTCAGGGACAGTGCCCAGGCCCTGAGTTCAACCCCAGAACTCCCAAAAGAAAAAGAAAAAAGAAAAAAAAATCCTAATGTGTTTGCTTGCTACATCATGTTATTTGCAGAATGGTTTTATATTTTTATGAATAAAAATTGGTGAGGGATTTCCTCTTGGATTTTTTTCCTTATTATGAGCCTTTTCTCCTTCTCCCTCCTTCCCTCCTTCCCCCCTCCCTCCCTCCCTCTATGGGTACTGGAGATCAAACCCAGAGCCCTGTGCATGTAAGTTGTATCACTGATCTACATTTGAGCCATATTTGAGTCTTAATATTGGATGTGCCTTTGTGCCAGGTTCTTAGGGGTTGTTGGGAAAAAGTGCCCTGGAGTAGTTTTGTCAACTTCTGGGCATGGTTAATTGGTCTAACTTGAACTTTGGGAATCTTTATATAATGTCCAAATGCTACGTAAGTTCTGACATCACAAGCTTTGATTTTTAATTAAAAAAAACTAAGCATGTATCCATTCACTATTGTAAAGATTAAATTCATGTTTACAGTCATTTAAGATCATTAAATATGTGGCCCTGTGCACACAGAGTTCAGTTATAAACTGTGTAACATAATAGAATCAGAGTTCAGTTGCTGGTGAGAGGCAGTTGGCATTGGAGGTGACAGATTAGTGTTTGCAAAGAAGAAATCTTCATGCAGTGCTGTAACATGGCACTTTAAAATCTTGTGTCTTAGTTGTAGAACAATGTAACTGTCTCTTGTGAAATGATATTTCTGGTGATTTTCCTTCTTACAGACTGTGTCCAGTCTCTTTCATGTTAGCAAAGGGTGCAAAGATGTTTTCACCTGAGTATTGAAAGAAGCTGGTGAGTCAGTGGGGTGGAGAGACAGCGGAAGACTGTCCTCAACTGGAAGTCCCGTAGCCCTGCAGGTTGAGCTCCAGAGGATGAGACTCGTGAGGCTAGGTGGAGGAGAGCAGGCAGGGTTGTTGGCTCCTCAGTGTGTTTTCCTAAACAAGCCCGGTCAAGATCATTGCACTGTGTGGCAGAGTAGGATCTGGAGTTCCTCACGGCTGCAGTGAGAGGAGCTTTTGTAAGAACAGTGCTTTGAGGTGGGAGGAAGCTAAAAGTACAGCGACCCAGCACAGAATTAATTGCTGGCAGAGGAGGTGGGAATATAGAAAAGCATTCTTAATTATGGCAAAACTCCAGCCTCTCTACTGTTCTATGTAGTTCTTTTCAAATTTAACCCCATCCGAAGTTTCCTAGTTCAGTTACTTTGCTGGTTGATGTTATGGTGTTTGTTCCCTAGCAGAGAAATGCCCTGAAGGCAGGTTGTTTGCCTGATACCTAGAAGGCCGCCATGGGTTAAAAAAACATGAAGAAAGGCAGGTGTCTGTCATGTAGTATTTGCCACTGTTTCAGCCTTGTGTCAGCAATGGTTGGATTATCAAATCAAGAGAGGTCAAATGTAGTGTTTGCATTGCCTGATAGAAGACCAGTGCTCTAAAGGAAATTGAAAAGGTAATCTGACCAGTTCTTGTGGCTTACTCTGTAATTCTAGTACTAAGGAGCTACAATTTGGAGGATCTTTAAAGCAAGCCCAGACAGAAAACAACCAGCACAAGACCAGGCTGGAGGCATGGCTCAAGTGGTAGAGCACAGCCAAGCAAGCCAGCTGTGCAAGTTCAAGACTCAAATGCTAGTACTGGAAAGAAAAAACAGAAAAAAATATTCTATAGAATATTTAGCTTGCAGTATTAAGTTTTTAAAAGATAAACTTCTAATTCTCTATGAATGATACTCTTTCTCTCCTATCGGTTTCATAAATGTACCTCTTCCATCTTTAAAATATGCACTGAACATCTCAAGTGGTTTGGTTACTAGGCTTGGAATGAGGCTAAGGAAAGTATCCTCAGGCCTCTGACCATGCAAGGGCCTACAGAGAGTTCCTGAAATAGCAATGGCAAGGCCATACCTCGCGTCAGATTAACGGTGGTGTTTAATATCAGATTTTAGGGATTTGAAATGCCCCGGGGGCTCTTTAAAGAAAACTTTTTTTTGTCAGTTGTGGGGCTTGAACTCAGGGCCTGAGCACTATCCCTGAGCCTTTTTGTGCTCAAGGCTAGCACTCTACATTCTTGAGTGGCTAATTGGAGGTAAGAGTCTCATGGACTTTTCTGCCTAGGCTGGCTTTGAACTGTGATCCTCGGATCTCAGCCTCCTGAGTAGCTAGGATTATAGGTGTGAGCCATTGGCACCTGGCTAAGTCAAACCTTTGATTTCTTAGTCAAACTGTGTGTGTGTGTGTGTGTGTGTGTGTGTGTGTGTTACATTTGTGGGTTTCTTTGGGACAATCACTGCTTGTTTCTCTTTTCTAGCTGGAAACTTTTGGGGTAGAACATTGTCTGCCATCTCAAGTTCCACAGATCCAACCAGTTATGATGGGTTTGGACCCTTCATGCCAGGTTTTGAAATCATCCCATATAATGATCTTCCTGCACTCGAGGTACTTCAGTAGAATGATAGTGCTTGGCTCATAGTAAATAGAAACTATTTTGCATTAATTATGTCCTATGAATATGTTAATATTAAAAGTAACACTAAAGATGGCTAGGGACATTGATTAGTGGTAGAGTGCTTGCCTAGCATGCTTGAGTTCCTATGCCCAATACTCACTACTGCAAGACAGACTGACAAAGCACATTATATGACTTTGAAAGTGAACTGGAGCTAGGCCAATGTTGTCTTAGCAATAGTTGGTTTGTTTCCAACACAGGGAAAACTTATGACTAAACCCTGTGCCCTACCAGCCATGTCAGATTTGTGTTTTTCTTTCTTTCTTTTTTTTTTCTGGTCGTGGGGCTTGAACTCTGGGCCTGGGTGCTGTCCCTCAGCTCTTCAGCTCTAGGTGAGTGTGCTCTACCACTTGAGCCACAGTGCCACTTCCGGTTTTCTGGTGGTTTATTGGAGATAAGAGTCTCCCGGGCTTTCTTGCCTGGGCTGTCTTTGAACAGTGATCCTCAGATCTCAGTCCCCTAAGTAGATAGGATTACAGGCGTGAGCCACCAGCGCCTGGCAGATTCATGTTTTTCATAATAACTTGGGTATTGCCTGTTTTTGGAGTAAAATTATAAAAGGGCATATTTTATTCAGTGGTAGCAGTGATGGAACCTAGGGCCTTTTGTGTGTTAGGTATGTGCTCTACCATTGGTTACTTCTCTACACCCAAATGGAGTACTTTGATTAAAAAGTCTTAAAATGGCTACCACAGGCCATTTACATTAGGTTTTATCTATCATTATTTATGTGGTAGGAAAATGTAGGGATATTGTAATTTAATGAATCAAATTGTGAATCCAGTGTCAGTGAGAATGTTAATGTTTGTGAGGTGGAATATAAATCAGTGCAAAGCCTAATTTCTTAACTTTAGAGGAAAATATGCAATCTATGATTTCACATTTCCAAATATGGGAGAGTGGAAGTTTTATTTCTTTTTGTTTTGTAGAGAGCGCTTCAGGATTCAAATGTTGCCGCCTTCATGGTGGAACCAATTCAGGGGGAAGCTGGTGTAGTTGTTCCGGACCCCGGCTACCTCGTGGGAGTGCGAGAACTCTGTACCAGACACCAGGTAGCCCATGCTAACTTTGTGATGCTGCCCAGCTGTCTCCTGCCTTGACTCTCCTTTTCTCTTTCTGCTGACAAGGATATGTTATGTGCAAAGACTAAATCTTCTGTCCACTAGGGGGCAGTATCATTCCATGCTTAGGAACGTCTTACAAACCTGTACCAGGAAGCTTAACTATCTGGAAGAAAGCCTAGAATCTGGGCTGATCAGAGCTGCAGACCTCCGGTTCCACATCGTGTTTTCTTCCTTTCTTCCCTGCGGACTGAGCTCTTAATCCCTCCTGAGCCCCCTGCTCCCCCTTCTCTTACCAAAGCTAATACTGTGTATTTTGTTTGCCATCGACAATCCAGAAAGAATCTGATAAATCTGATAAAAGAATTAATTTGTTTCCAGAGTGTAATCTTAAGCCAGAAAAAGCCCTTCAGACTTCTCACATTTGCCTAAGTGTCTTTCCATCCTGAAGAGAAATGGCAAATGGGCCCCTGGATATCTACAGATTTTTATAGAACACCTTTGAAATTCTGTGGGTAGTTAAAACATTTTCTTTTTTTTTTAATTTAATTTTATTTTATTTGTGAACATACTGTACAGAGGGGTTACAATTGCATGGGCAGGATAATGCGTACATTTCTTACCAAGCATTGCAGCCT